TGTATCTACAAAGGATCATTTTTTATCGTTCCAACGCTCTTAAGAAAAAAGAAGAAGAAAAATATAGATAGATAAGGAAGATGAGTTCAAAATTTGGAACAGCTTTGGAAGCTAATTCGATCAATCTTGATTCCTATGCCAAAAAGAGGGAGTTATTTGTCATCAGTGAAGAAAAGCTGGATAAAGCTGGTGGAGATGTGAATGGACATATTGACATGAACTATCATAGAATTTGTCATCTTGGGTATGATGGAGTGAGTTCCACTTGTGCGGCACCAACAGAATGGGTCAAAAGTGAGATAGGAAAAGTGGATACTTCATTGAGGAAGCATGTTGATGATGATGAAACACGACTGAAGGTGAGTGGTACACTGAAAATGAAAGGAAATCTTAACATGGGTGGAATGGAAATTGTAAATGTGAAGCAACCATCAAGAAGTACATCTGTGGTAACATCAGAATATCTCAACACAGCACAAAGTCGGACTCTCTGGACTAGTGGACTCAACCAGATGAAAGGAAATCTTAACATGGGGCTGAAATACATCATCAATCTCCGAGACTCAACAGAGGATGACTCAGCAACAACAAAGGAGTATGTTGACAGAAAGGATGGAAAGGTGAAAGTCAAAAATTTGAAGAATATCATCCCGAGCTCATCAACCACTCCACCAGAAGCCACACTTCATGTCTTTCCTATATACAAAAGTCCAACCAACAAACTGATTGTCATTGAGGATCTCTTCATAGTCGGTCAAGAAACAAGTGGTAGCAGAAGAGGTTTTCATGTATCATATCGAGATGTGTTGGGAGAAAAAGCGGTAATCCGATACATTACTGAACATGATATAACAATGGTTTATCATGAGTACTGAAAAACCTTAACTATATATAGATAAAAAATGGAAATACCTCATTTGTTAATACTGTTGACCATGCTACCATTTACTCTTGGTTGGAATCGTGATCCGTTGGATAAGGATGGACTCTGCCTGACAACGAAACCTCCTACTGTCATCCAAAGTGAAAGACCAACTCCGGTTGATATCCCTAGTGAAACATCACCACCAACAGATCATATCACCACACAACCACCTTACGATCAGACGAAACCAGGAAACGGGGGTCACCCTCATTTGACAGACCCCAATCTTTATCTTTTATCTCTGATTGTTATTCCTATAGTTGGTGCTGTTGTTTATGTCATAAAACGTTCCAGCTGTTCGATGAGTGTTGACCCTGAAAATGATCCAAGAAATTTACAACATCAACCTAGGTTAGATTTTGATCCGATACCATTATCAGATATGCTAGGTGTGAACAATTTACCAAAATCACCTTCAACCTTTGATGTAACTGGTATAGTCTGA